ACAGAAGAAATTCCAACCCTTTATCTCAATGGCTTTCAAAGAGGGAAATTTCATCAAGACAAAGCAGCAAGACATACTTTGAAAAAAACCACTGCATTTCTTTGAAAAATGAAAACTGATGCAGGTATGGCATATAGTATATATTTTCAGTGTATTTCTGTGAAGTTCCCCGACATTCACCTATGGACAACTATGCTTTGGTTTCTCCGAAAGAGCTCTTTCTAAGAGCAAATTCACCACCATTAATGGATTCTTTTGAAGGTTTTTGTGTTGTTCTCATGTGTAAACATAGGTATCCTTTTCATCATTTTCAGTCCTGCATCTTCGGAAGAAAGTTCTGTTTGACCTGCGAAATTATAATTTGGCACATTACTCTTGTTTATTTTTGTTGCCCCTTATTTAATTGTTTCAACATTTAATTTTTTGTCATGCTTTTTTATTACATATATAAGAACTCTAATGCAATTTACATTGCGAAAAAAAAGGACAATTCTATATCTCCCGTTCTACTGGGGCGACGACGAAATTCAACTTGCGTTTTTCGTGTCTCAAAAGCGCGACGTAGAATATGTATTACAGTTATATATAGCATTGTTCTAGTACAGGTATTTTGACACAAAATAGGACTTTTCCTGAAATGAGATGCCATTATTTTTTTCATATTTCAATTCAAGGACTCAACATATGCTAAATTGCCAAGTTTTGTAGAAATCGCTCGAGTAGGTTTTAAAAGATTAGCTTTCAAAATTTTAGCTCTTTAATGTTAATTGAATTTGATATATATTTTTTAATCTCTCTTTTTTTTTATTGACGTATTTGATTCTTCCTTTGATATTTCGAAATTTATGTTCATTCCAAATACAATTCGCCCATTTTTTATGATTTATTTTTAAAATTTGTATTTTTAAAATAATTTTTATAAATTTTTGAAAAATATTTTGAATTATAATCTATAACAATTTTCCCATCATCTTAAAGTAGATGTATTTCTAAGCAAACCTGCAAAAAATTAGAGTTTTCTATTTAAAATTTCCGAAGATATACGTGAATTTATAGATTGGCGCGTTTTGAAATTTGGCATATTTGTTGAAAGCGATAAAACATCAATTCTGGTTTAGATACCCTTTTTAAAATTATTTGAAAGTTTGCAGTTTGCAAAAACTTCGCAGTTTGGCGTAATTTGAGTCGTAGAATCGAAATATGGAAAACAAATTGGTATGTTATTTCAGAAAAAGTCCCATTTTGTGTCAAAATACCTATGTTAGAACAATGCTATATATAAATATAATATCTATCTTATGTCGCGCTTTCGAGACATGAAAAACGCAGTTTGAATTTCGTTAATCAGCCCAGTAGATCGTTAATAAGCCCTTTTCTTTCTTTCTTTCTTTCTTTCTTTTTTTTTTTCTGCGCAGTGTACATACTTTAGCCCCTATTATCTTGAATCTTCAACAAAATTCGAAATTCGAAAACTAAACTCTTCGCTCTTTTTTTCGTTATTTATACATTTTGAAACCTAACCTGAAATAGTTAAACTTTTTGACTCAAAATTTTGAAAAGATTAATTTCCTTGAATGCAACAGCTGTATTCATTACAGAAAGAACGCTAATTTTCTACTTAAAGTAGACTTGGATTCCAGCGGTGATGGCGTAGGTATCAATTGTTTTTTGTGGAGAAAACCTAATGATTATACATGCTAAATTTGAATTAATATTCTCCCCTTTACACTTACTTTGATTTAAAACAACTCTTTAAAAATATACTTTACCTAGTTCTCAAGTATTTTTTGTTAAATTATATCGAAAAAAATGAGATTTGATTCAGAAATTTTAATGGCGTTCATCATTTACTGAATTTTATTTGTATCTTCTTAAATAATAGAGATGTGTTTTTAAAACCCGTATACATAAGAATGATTCTTAATAAATACAAATTAAAAGTTTTGTTTAAACTGTAAACTTTCAATACGAAGTAAATGTTTTTCGTCCTTTTATTACTTGTATATATAAAATCTAAGAAATATAAAATACTCAGCAAAGCTCTTAGGATTCAAGTTCTGATTTGTATTAGATAAAATTTAAGCTTTTTTTTTTTTTTTTTTATCTCTAATGTTAACAGGGTGTCAAGAGAGTATAAGTGACACATTATTATACCGGATCACCCAAAAATTTGTTAACATTTGAAAAGTCAATAATTTACCGAATAATGTATGTAGAGATGTAGACACATGCTTGAAATGAATGGGGCTTTATTGAAAAAAATGCAAAAGTAAGGCCAACATATGGCACTAGGCAACATTAGAGACGCTGAATTAGAATCGTGTATGAAATGAGCCGCAGTTAGAAAGGAAATCGGTCCCGTTATGACTTTGTTATCCTCACCTTCGGGTGTTTGTCAGGTGCGATGTGGATTTATCACGTGATCGGACATTTTTTCTTCCAGGAAATCCTTAGTTCTGCTATTCAAACTGTCAGTGTGACTGTGACAGGCACGCTGATATGTTACAAAATCACATCATCTCTAGTCTGGCTGATAAACATTTGTTAGAATGCATGACTTTTATGCAGGATCGAAGTCCATCCCATATTGCTACACGTGTGAACGATCTCTTGCACACATCGTTTTTCAGGATCGCGTGCTGAGCGGCCATCCGTCTTGCCTGTCCTCTCATTCCAGATCTCGAATCGCGTGATTTTTATTAAAAATAAATTGTTATGCTAATTATTGATTTTTTATCATATGAAACGCCATCTATTGAGCGTTTTAAGCACTTTTTTACTTCCTTGTAAAGTAAAAGGGAAGTATTGTAATCGCGAAAAGTTTCAGGCAGGATATTTCAATGAAATATCCATTTTGACCGCTTTCGAATGCAATTTAACGATGTTTTTGCGTGATATCTGTACGTAAGACAGAATAAAATACTCTTTTCCTCCAAAAAATCATAAAACTGCTTTAAAATGAATTCTGAAGAGATCTTTTCGTGGCGTCTGTACCAACGTATGTACGTACGTACGTATCTCGCATAAATCAAAAACGAGTCGCCTCAAAACGTATATGTTTGTAAATTGTACATTTTTTGCTTTAAAAATGATTGAATAATATTGTTCTTATCTTCCGGTTAAGGTTTTTATGCCTTTAGTAAATCTATATGCAATATTTTTAGAATAATCAACAATTTTAAAGTTGTTTAAGTGCGGCTAAGCCTAATATTTTTTTTTGATGGCGGCCATTGCTTGTTTACATTTGAAACAGCAGGATAATGGATTTGTTGCTAATCTAGAGAAACTTAGCTTCGCAACAACAAAGATAACGCCTTCATTTAATATTGCGAATTAATTCATGCTTATTCCTTTCTGGAATTTTTTCGAGGAAATAAGTGTTTAAGATTTACTTCGAAATTTTTAATACAGATATTTTGAGTTTTTATGTATTTTTGCCTTGTCGCGAAGTGAGAACTGAATTAAATGAATGAGAAATACTCAATCGTCTGTGAAAAACAGTTTCTTTTTTGTTTTGTTTGCTTAATTTCTTTTATACATCGTTCTAGCTTTATTATGGTATTTGAATAGAACATGTGGCAACGATTAGGTAATTCTTTAAATGATATAAATTTTGTGCATTCTGAGTATAATATGTTTGCAAAAAGTACGTTCCATCTTACTGGATTCAACTCATCATTAAAGACACCCTACTTATAATATATTAGTAAAGACCGTACTAGGACGATTGCCTCTTAATTGTGTTATGACATAGACATAGTAATAATATGAACTAAATATAATATAATACTGTTATGTTAACCTAGCGCCAGAGTGTCTCTATGGTAAACAAATAGAGTGAATTTTAAAGAATGCATTTTATTCTATTGTAGTTCATGCGCTGTCGGCGAAGTAGATTTAATTCAATCCAATAAGTGCAAATGAAATGCAAGAAAAAGTGCGTATAATTTAATATTCCGTACAAGGAAGTCATGTGGTAAGTAATTAATAATGTTTAAATTACTAACAAAAACTGCGTTCGGAATCTACGCCTTAGCAGTAGTATCTCGAAACGCCAATCCCTAGAAATTTTATGTTAATGTAATTAAAAGAAGGGGAAAGAAACCTATTTTTAGTGTTAAATTTTTAATTAAATCAAAATCTCGAATCTGTGTTTGTTAGAAAACCTATTTAAGATTATAAGTTTTCAAAATACATCTGTATTTTTTAAGAAACAAGTGAAGTTTAGTAAATGAAGTGGCTAGTCTATTCTTTAGCTTACTGGAGTTCAGTTTCTGAGTATAACACGGAGAAAATATTTGAATAATAGCTCATAAAGTTTTACATTTTCCGCAATATTTTCGAATCGAAAGAAAAAAACAGTCAAATATGCAAGCAGATATTAACATTATATCAACTATTACCACAAATAAACAATAAATACAGACCACTAAATTCTCTCTCTAGAAAATTATGACTATGACCTTCAGGCCACAAGCTGGTATTGCCAATTCATATTCCCTGAAAGGTTTCAGTTTATGCCAAAAATAATAAATAAAATGATAACTGAACAAAATATTAGTATGTAATCAGGATCATATCTATTTACGTTATATACTGATGAATATCGTGCATAGCAATTGTATAATGTAATAGCTATTTTAATAGTATATACTAGATATTTTAAGATGCAATTATCTAGTAACGTATGGGCATTTAATCAGTAAGTGGATAATAAACATCATAACTGTATTTGTTATTTAATGCACTTCTGTCATTTATCCGTAAATGTACTAGTTGTAATATACTTGCAATTGTATTAAATATTGGGAACTATGTAATGTATTGGTATAACATATTTGTATAAAGTACTTTATATAATGTACTTGCGAGTTTTTTATTTTGTTTTATGTGCAATAATATTATAAAGTATAGGAGATTGGTTAAAGTACTATATACTGTAAGGTAAATTTGCATGTGCATATAATGTATCAGTATTTGAAACAGACTTTAGTACTTACCTAGGAATACAGAAGTATTCGTTAAGAAGTAGATCGATAAACACTACTGTACTAGTACCAGCTGTACCATGCATTTCTATGCAAAAATACTAGGGAAGAAGTAGAGTGATAATACCTTGTATTAGCACATGCTGGTATAATACATATCTGTAATAATATGATACAAGTTATTGGTCTATCAAGTACTGGTAAATATATAGTATATAGACATATAGTACAGGAATGTATTGGAAGCATACATTAATTTCATAATATGTAATCATTCTTGTACAATGTTTCAAAAACTCGGTTATGTTTTAGTATTTATTCAAAAATTTATTAGCATTTATTCAAGAATGTATTATGTATTTGTATTACGTAATTGCATCACATTTTTGGATTTATATTTGTATTATGTATTAGTAAGTATGCTTGTATTATGCACGATGGGTAAGAGCTTCGGTTTCCTAAAAAACACAGTGCAATTAATAACTTCAAGGACCTTAAACTGCTGAGTTGGTAACCAGTTCTGTATGGATTATGTAATACTCTGAGACGGAAGCCAACTCAGCGGATTTCAGGATTTCAGTCGCTATCTTTTTTAATGGAATACTTCTTTTGCCTGACAATAAAACTAATCTGAGTAGAGTTAAATCGGTTAAGGTTTTTCAGCTCATGATTCAAAAGATTTAGAGAGAAAAAGTAGCAAAACTTTAAGTTTCCCAATCTTTTTTAAGATTCATAGGATCGGAGGATTTGGAAGTCCCCTTCTCTAGTAAATTTCAAATAATGACAAATAAAAGATTTTGCGTTATTTAGATATAAAAAGATATAAAACTGATCCATTTACAAATATTAGTTCCGATTATTATTTAACAATTCCTTCCTATTTCAAGCTATGAAGGAACACGTCGAAGGTAGAAAGTCCCAGCATAAAGGAAAGTTTGCTTACTCCCTTTTAATGTCACTTTCAATATCCACAAAATTGTGCTGTTGCGTAAAAAGAGCTTATCTCCATCACAGCTTTAGGTTACTCTAACAGCTGTCTTAAATTTAACTTCCGTGTATATTCTTTAATATAATATCAAACTGAATAAAACTGAAAGAATATATCCAAAGAAAAAAAAGAATTGTAAAGACGCGGCAGCATAAAACCTGAAAGGCTGGTTTAAATTTAAAATAATGCCTTACAATATATCGCTTACAAATCGTAGGTAGAATTATATAATTTTCGCATTAAAAATTAAAGTTTGCAAAAGTCAAAAATGAATATTTTGTATTTATTTGTGGACAAAATAAAAAATACATACCACTATTTTCTTAACTTAGCTGGCATGAAATAAACTACTTAAATAATACGAAAAAATAATTGAAAGATAGCATCATTGAAGCCTCTGTATTGTTATGAACTTTGCTTAGAGAGGTAATTTTAGTGGAATTACAAGTAAAATTTTTATATTTCTTTTGTATAATATAACATGAAAATGCTTAAGAGAGGAGCTATGCCAGAAAAGAAAGAACAAAGTCCGTTTAAAATTGAATAAATGGGTATAGTTCGGCCGCTTTCAAAAGCAACCTTGGGTGACATTGTACCAAAACACATAGACTCGTCCAAAAGGGGCGTTACTACTTGTTGCGACTTGAAAAGTCACTTGAAGACCTTGAGATAGAGAGAATTTATATGCTCGAGGGAAAGGAAGTCCCCATCCTTCCACCCTATTTTCAGAATAGTTCGGTCCGAATGGCGCATGCGTGTTTACGCTCATAGTCGCTGATGAGGCGGTCGAACTATGTCTCGGTAATTTGGCGAGAAATTCCCAAAATTCACCAAATTTGGCGACATTAGAGTCCAGTTTCTGTATTACAATAATACATATTGTAACCGAATAAAAGTAATTAATCAATATATTATCTGCAACCGTAATTTGACATTCATATTACCTTAATTAATTTAATAGAATTTAAATTAATTTCGAAAAGCAGAAAGTACTAGACATATCTCAGCGGCCAGTTGAACACTATGTAGCGCAGAAGAGAGCATCTGCTCTCAGTTGTAGTTCTTGTTATTGTTGCGCATTGTTAGTTCAACCTGAGATCGGAGATATTTTTGGGTTAGCTTTCTCTTTAGATGTGCTTAGTGCATTGCATTGCGTTTATCATTCTTACCAGTTAAAAGCGTAACAACTGATTTTATTCTATGATACCGTGAACACCTGTAGGAGTATTTCTGTGGAAACTTCCAGAACTTTCAAGTGTTTCAGTTTGATAAAAATAAATTTTAATAGCTTATTATTGGACCTGTGTGCATTCAATCTATTACCAACCCTTACGTCCGCAACGGTAATTTTTTGTTTGAGGTCTTTGTTTTCTATCCGTATCTATGATTTAAAGGTACGAACACATATTTCTGTATCCACGCTCATGGCCGGAATGGGAAGGCTATGCAAATATGCCTTTGCAAGGTTATTTTAACAAATATAATTTAAAAAGTTCATAAATAATCTTTTGCTTGTAATCGCTAATATCAGTAAATTTTGCATTTATTACATCTATTTCGAGAATACGAAAATTACACATCTCTAAACACAGATTTTGATCATTTCAGCTAAGAGAAATACTAAATATTAGGTATTTCTAATCACGCATATTAGCATTAAAGAGTGAGCTATTTTCCTCATGCTTGGTTAACAAAAATGTATCAAATTGTGTCTAATGGGTGAAATATTTTAAGTATTTTTTTTTTGGGGGGGGGAACAACTCAAATCCTGCATATGAAGAGAGCTAATTTCGTCATCAAAGTCCTACTTACAGGGAAAGTCACCATGCGAGTTTTCACCCGTGTCAAACCAGTTTCTCGCATGCTATTTGTTACTAAATTAAAAAGTGTTTTTAAAGGATCGATATTTAAACAATTCTCTCAAAGTATTGACAAACTAAAAAAAAACATAAATGGAGTACTGATGACTGCAGTTGCTGTTCCCAAGCACTAGTTCTACCAAAATCAGATTAATGCGTTTGATTAATTTGATAATCGGTATTTAACTTTATCAGGCATTCGAAGTTGTAAAATAATTGATTTCTTTTCCCTCTGCTTGTAACTAAGTACTGCAATCAATCATTTAAATGAAAAGCATTAAGCTGCTTAAAAAATAATATAGCTTAAAATGATTTTTAACGTTTAACGTAGACATTTATTGAGTTGCCAGAGACAACAATCTTTTTTCAAAAGATTATTATATAACGCTTCTGAGAAGAAAATTTTACTAAAGATTCTATTTAAATGAATGCTCTCATTAGATAAACAAATTCCATTTTGTTTATAATTGAATTAATATTCTTTGCATAATGAGCTTACATTCTCTCTAAAAAGAGAGAATTTCCGTACGTTATATTTTTCGCCAATTAAAAGAATTTTACAACCATAATTTAATTAGTTAAATAGTTTTAAAAGAACAGCATCATTGATAACATTTATTTTGTAATACTATAATAAGACATTTGTTTATAAGCATTCATTCGGGAATGTTTTGAATATTTAACACAAATCTTCTGTTAAAATAAAGTAGCTTAAATTGACGTCACATGGGACGAAGATGCTTACATATATATTGACTATTGTATAACTCACAATAATTTATGAAACAGTAATTTCTTTAAATGCTAAATATTTAATTTTTGTACTAAATATGACCATCTAGTTAATAAATTATTTACCTGTTCGGAGCTTGCATCAATGTTATTCTGAAATATTTAATTTTGCCAGTGGAATGAATAACTGCAATAGCTTTTATGACAGTTTATGTTAGTGAAGGTTACGTTTCTTATTAACAGGCGATTATTCTCAAATACTATACGATTATTCCATAATTGATAATTACTATCAGATAATTATTCTAAAAAATTAAACCATAAAGAATCTATATGTATGAATTATGTTCCTAGAAAAGCAACAACGTCTAGCTTATCATATACGTAATCCTCCACCCGAACACGTGACGTAGAAATAGCAGAATTTTCAAATGTGGTATTTATTATTTATTTCATGCTTTTTACAAATAAATGAATTTTTGATTGACAAACTCAGCAATTTGAAAGCGAGAAGTGGCATCGCCGTTCGAAAGAAAATATTTTTATCTCAAATTGTTGCCATTCGATAAAATGTAAAATATTTAACTTTCAGTTTTAATCAGCACACTACGCTATAAACTTTCCAGAAATAAAATACTTTTATTTTTGACGCTCCAATTTACTGCCATTCAGTAGAGCCTAATATTTAACTTTCAGGTTTATTGTGGAAAATTATTGAGTAACAAACCAATCAATTAAAAAAAATCATACTTATGAAGAATAATTTTTCCTATTTTTTAATATAATTAATTTAAGTAAAAACAAAATAAAAATCTGTACATATCTAATCATAAGTATTAAATATTTTATGAAATTACACTAGCTAGACTCATTAAAATCATTATATATTAGTCGTGCGAAGGATAGTTTTTAAATAAATAATATAGTTTATATGAAAAAATGTATGGCAACCTCTAGCACTCCATTGGGAATTCTTAAGCTATGCTGTTTTAAGGTACAAATCTCTGTCTTGAAACTACGTTCTGCCAAATTCGCTTGCGTGCGATAATACGCAAAAGAATTCGTGTAACGTAGTTTCTCATTAATAGACGGCGCGTTACTAGCTAGCAAAGTACGGCAGCGCTGACAACTGTTTGCTGAATCAGATGTTTTAAAAATAAACAAAACATCAAGAATTTTTGTTAAAAAATTTACGGTAAAAAGTTGTAAATTTTGAAAAAATTCACCTTAAATATATTTCAAAAAGAACAAAACTTTAAAATATAATATAAAAATGTAATTTAAAGGCTATTTCTATTAGCTTTATTAAAATAATTATATGATTTCTTGCTCACAAAACTCAAAAATTGCAATTGCTCTTACTATCTTTACATTTATGTTAATTCTAAAAATTTACATTAACGTAACTATGAAGATATTAAGTTATACTGCAATTTTTACTTCCTTGTACGAAATAAAAAGGACGTATTGTAATCGCGAAAAGTTTCAGGCAGCATATTTCAACGAAAATATCCATTTTGACCGCTATCGAATGCAATTTAACGATGTTTTTGCGTGATATCTGTACGTAAGAACAGAATAAAAGTCTCTTTTCCTTCAAAAAAATTATAAAACTGCTTTAAAATTCATTCTGAAGAGAATTTTTCGTGGCGTCTGTGCAAAAGTATGTACGTACGTACGTACATAAGTATGTACGTACGTATCTCGCGTAACTCAAAAAGTAGCCTCAAAACGTTGACATTTTGTATCTAAGACTGCTATAACATGTAGATGTGCATCTCGTATTTTGGTTGCAATCGGTCGCACCAAACGTATATAAATATGTTTATATATATATTCACTCTGTTACATGGCTCAGTGATCTCAGTATCTTTACTCTTATATGTTTGTAAATTGTACATTTTTTGCTTTAAAAATTATTGTATTATGTTGTTTTTATCTTCCAGTTAAGGTTTTTATGTCTTTAGTAAAACTGTATGCAATATTTTTAGAATTATCAACAATTTTGTTGTCTAAGTGCCGCTAAGCCTTTTTTTATGGCGGCCATTGATGTTTACTTTTGAAACGGGAGAATAGTGGATTTGTTGCCAATCTAGAGAAACTTAGCTTCGCAACAACAAAGATAACGCATTCATTTATTATTGCCAATTAAATCATGCTTAATCCTTTCTGGGAATTTTTTCGAGGAAATAAGTGTTTCAGATTTAACTTTTCGTAATTTTTATATAGATATTTTGAGTTTTTATGTATTTTTGCCTTCTCGCGAAGTGAGAATTGAATTAATTAAATGAGAAATACTCAATCATCTGTGAAAAACTCTTCCTTTTTGTTTTGTTTGCTTAATTTCTTTTATACTCTTTCTTTTATACTTCTAGCTTTATTATAGTATTTGAATAGAACATGTGGCAACGATTAGATAATTCTATTCTTTAAATGATATAAATTTTATTCATTATGAGTTATAATATGAACGAAATATATAAGTTAACTGTTATATAATTATTGGATTATATAACAGTTAACTTAGTTTCCGTTATATAATTATTATGTAAGTTAACTGTTATATAATTATTAATATTGTTAAGTGAATCTAGCGCCAGAGTGTCGCTATGGTAAACAAATTCTAGAGTGAATTTTAAAGAATGCATTTATTTTATTGTGGTTTATGCGATGTCGGTGAAGTAGATTTAATTCAATCCAATAAGTTTAAATGAAATGCAAGAAAAAATGCGTATTTTAATATTCCGTACAAAGAAGTCATGTGGTGTACACATCAAATTTTTGAATGTTGTGGTCAAATCGTATAATTATTTTATTTCATAATTTTTAATGCGAGTCAAGCTAATAGAAATAGCCTTAATATTAACAGTTTTTTAAATATTTCATTAAATATTTTGTGATTTATATGGCGTTAAGTACGAAGAATGTGATATTTAAAAAATAATGTCAACACATAAAAATTTAATAATAAAAAAGACCAAAAAACATTTTTTGTTAACCATCTTAATCAAAAAACTTAATGTTGATACCATGAGCTGAGAAAAGGCTAAAAAAATAAAAAAGATTGTGCTAGCTGTTAGCACTGTATCGGCATTCTAAACATATGACTCTATTCTGCTTTTAAAAATTTTACGATTTTGCTGTTGAATTGTATATGACGTAAGTGCAAAAAATAAGGTGCTTAATAATAAAGTTAAAATGACCAAAATGTTGTGTTAGCAGGAATGAGTCCAACAGCAGATTAGTAATCTGCGATGCTCAACGACTTTTCAGAATTTTTTTTTGGAGCACTTATTTTAAAATGAAACTAGACTAGGCGAAAAGAGCTTTGATAACTGAATAATAAGGAAGTTTTTCTAAAGTAAGGGAATTTTTTTTACAGGTATAACACGGGTGAAAATAATTATTTTTAGGAAACTAATATGAGCCAAATTTGTTTCGGTGAGAAAATATACTTTCGTTATCAGCTCATTTGAGCTGCGGTAAAACATGTGCAATACATCTCTTAGGATTGTTATATCAACAAACATAACGCGGAATCGAAAAAAATTATTTTAAAAACTTTTTATTGAATATACTTTTGAAACCTAGAGCACTGTTTATAAGACATAAAGAAAGCACATTAATTTAATGCTTCAATATGAGCAATGTTGGAGCATGTATCATTTTGAAAAAAAATTTCTTAGCGCCGCATATTTTCATATATAACGAAAAAGAACCCAAATGTCAAGTTGCTTAAAGTAATTTTATTATAATATAATATTATTTAAATGTAATATTAATTTCCAAGTTAATGTAAACCTATAGTATTTAATATTTTACTAGTAATTTGCATTTAATTATTTTTTTAAAAATAATTTTAAGCAGTTGGGAGATTAATATGCTTATTAGTTTTTAATTTGGGTTTGATTTAAAGAGTATCAATAAAATTATTTCACCTGCATTTCCAAGTAGGAATAACAGATCTGAAAACTTAACCCTTGCCCAGAATTTAATGTAATATTTTATTTCAGCTTTTAGTCTGCTACCCATGTTTCCCAGAAATTTTAATTCTATATATAAATTGACGCATTCTGTCATTTAGACTAACCCACCGATGAAATTTTAAGCATATGGCATCTTACGCCTACCATTTCAGCTGAAAGTGCCCCCGTAAACATATATTATTAATCATCTCTCACCCTCTATCTGCACAATCATCAATAACCCTTTTGACGTAACTTCAAACATATGATGCATACGTGACCAAATTTTAATTTCCTGCTCTCGTTCAAAACACCAAACCCTCATGGATGAGAAGTACTCTCATATTTCTTTTGGCAGGAAATGAGTATATCTTTCTCGGGTGATATTTACTTGTACCAAGCCCTGCACCAGGAAAAGACTTGCACGTGATTATGGCAGTCATATATATTTCTACATATCTTTTAAGAACATGTACAGAGCAGAAAGATTTTACTGAGTTTTGCAATTAAAGCTGCTTCTCGGTGGGTGTCAAAATTGTATTTAAAGTCACACACAAACTCTTCCATTTTTGCGGAATAGCTTTGTAGGTAATGACACAGCACAGATCTACTTTTCACAAACATCAACATTCACAGGCTGAGAGGCGACCAATAACAAATTAGAGGTACAGTAAATAAACACCCTTTTCTCATATGACACAGTAATGTAACTGGTCTGCAAAGAGTTTTTATTTGTCTTTGGAAAGAAAAGATGGTTACTTGTGAGAAACAAGAAATGAAATCACGAAGTGATGAAATATTATACAATATGCAATGCTTCTTATTTCCTGATGAAAGTAAATTTTATTTTGATACTTTTCGGAATATTTTGGCTTAGATTTATCAGAGCATTTGACGATTTCTGCTTGCATTTGAACTAAAATGATATTCTGTGAAAGCGAAATATTTGATTTATTGTAGGATGTAATACATTAGTATGAAATTTTGGACTTATTGTACGTTGTCGTAAATTATTTTACAATAAAAACAGTTATCAAAACATTTTAGTGCATTAAATTAGTTTGCGTTTTGGGCTTACTGTACGTTGTAATAAATTATATTATAGCAAAAACAACTATCAAAATACCTTAGAGTAATTTTTAAAATTAGAACAAGAAGTACAAAAAAAAAAAAAAAAAAAAAAAAAAAAAACGACTTAAGCATTTCAAATGAAAATATGCATAATTAAAAAAAATCTGAAAATTCTCAGATTTTTTTTACGTCCAAAGGGGCGTTTTTTTTAACGTTTTGTGTGTTAATTTTATTTATTAAATATCATGTTCTTTGCACTTTAAACCATAAAATTCAGTTCAATAGCAATGTCGCAAAAAAATTTTAAAATG